CTCCAGCTTCTCCCGGATAACGGCGGAGACGCCATCCTCGTGGAGTGGGGCACCTAGTAAAAGTAACTTAAGGGCGGGAACAACTTTCAGTGTTGGCAACACCCCCCGAAACGTCTCCTCAGTTTCGAGCTCTTCCTCTCTTGAATGCTTCAGTATGATCAGTTCACACTTCCCCTAGTTTACCTCCAGCCCTACGGCTCTAAAGTTCTCAACGAGTTTCTGTACTGCCTGGAGAACTGTCTCTGGTTTATCGCCCAAAGATCCATTATCCAAATACCAAACGTTAAACTCAGTGTTCACCCGGCGTACCTTAAAATTCAACGGATAAGTACAACGCCGGTTACCATTTGACTGATCGTCACAAAAAGTACACGAACAGTCCAAACAAGTTTTCAATTTTGTGTTATTCTTGATAGGTGCATTCCCATCAATTAGAACAGCCCCTTAAGAATCCGGCAGTGAGAATATGTCTGGCATTAGCGATGCGAGAAACCCGAGAGGAATGTGCATGACCCCGCTCGGGGCCTCTGCTCAACAAGAGAAAAACAAAACGAGAATTAGAGACTAGTATTCAATCAGATTACACTACTTGAAGGTTATAGCATTGGCCAGATATAAACATGAAAACTAATTTCTTCCCTCAACATAGCGCTCTATATGTCTATAGCGCTACAGCTGGATATGCTTCCCACGACTAATAGAAACGAAGTTCTCTTGAATAGACCGGCTAGTCCTTAAAGGTTATGTTCCACGTCTCAGTAATACGGGCGATGCACTTACAATAATAACCTAAATAGTCAGTCTATCTAAAGGAGGATACGTCTAGTTCTAAAACAAACGTTGCCAGGTGTGAAAATCCTGGCGTGGTCAAGAAGTTTATAGTAAAAATTATATCCTAAAAAAACATTCCACCCGAGGTTGCAGCGTGCTGCTACTGGCCCAGGTAAATTACATCGTCCTGTACCCGATTTCATGCTAATCTCAAAGAGGCTGTGAGAGTTACGCAGTTCGTACATTCAAGGTTTAAGCGGTTATTCAGTCTGATGATAAACTTAACTAACCGTGCATAATGGGCAGCCTAACATGTAAACACAGTAGTGCAATAATTTTGCATTTCTATGGCGGAAATCTCATGACCTGACTGATCACATGACTCACTCATTCAGAGCTCGTCACTCGAGTTATAGTAGGTTCGGCTTGTGAATACTTCACCACTCTTAAAAAGATTGGTAATTAGTTTTTGCTTGCCTACTTTTCATAAATGTACATAAAATGACCGGTATTCCGAAACACACTTGAGAAATAATTGGGAAGAGTTTAATAGCTTACCTTTCGTGTGTGGGAGAGAGCGATCTGACTGAAGCACCGGGCCCAGCATTGAAGTTAATAATTTAATATCTGAAATGTCGGAATTGAAGACAAAGCGTGTTCAAGTAAGACGGACGGCGCATGCCCTTTACATGTGTCAAATATTGAAAGTGATACGTAAAGTATCACGCTAAGAATTGATATCTGGCACTGTCTCTATTGTGAATGTCGTAATTAATTTTATTAAACCTTCAAATTCGATGATAATCAATTTGTGAAACTTCATGTAACTTAATTATCTAGGAACTCACCTCCTGGACAAAAACGCGGCCTGTCTCAAGAAATTCATCGTACATGGAATATCTTCCAAAGTACTGGACCGATTTCAATGAAACTTGGTATATAGATTCCTGACCACCTAAAGGTGATGTCGAGCCCATGTGAATTTTCGCGATTTCGCCCGCGTTCTCGATTTATACGGTAATCTTAGAGTTTTTATGGGGTTTTCTAGGTTTTTCTTGTGTTTTTGATGGAACCTATTCTAACTGGACCTAACCTGCGATGTTTTCGTTGATTAGCTAGGGTTTTCCAGCCGCCGGACTCCAAACATAGAAAAAAGCTAGCCAATCAACGAAAACCTCGCAGGTTAGGTCCAGTTAGAAACAGGTTCCATCAAAAACACAAAAAACCTAGAAAAACCCATAAAAACACTAAGATTACCGTATAAATCGAGAACGCGGGCAAAATCGCGAAAATTCACATGGGCTCGACATCACCTTTAGGTGGTCAGGAATCTATATACCAAGTTTCATTGAAATCGGTCCAGTACTTTGGAAGATATACCATGTACGATGAATTTCTTGAGTCACGTCTGTGAGACCGGCCGTGAGACAGGCCGCGTTTTTGTCCAGCAGGAGGTCTTCTTACGCGTGTCTGTGCTCGTCAGAAGTCCTATGGGATTTCGCGCTCCTAGGGTGATTGTTCCTGAGCGTCCCACCGCTGAGCTCGCGGTGTCTGACTGCAGGTCTCAGTTGTGGGGTTAAGTTATTATGTAGGTAGGATACCTTACATTAAGTTATTATGTAGGTAGGATTCCTTACATTAAGTTATTATGTAGGTAGGATACCTTACATTAAGTTATTATGTAGGTAGGATACCTTACATTAAGTTATTATGTAGGTAGGATTCCTTACATTTAACTTCACTGTTTCTCTCGTGCGGGCGACCGACGTCCCGTGTAAGCGACCTCTTGTTCGAGTGTCATAGTTTCTGTTGCTTTTCACCTGTCCCTCCTTGTCACTTCGTCTCTTTGAGATGCTAACGCTGCTTCTTTCGAGCCAGCTTCTGCAAGCTGGATAATTGAGACCTCCCGCCCCTTGTGGGTGATGAACGATATTTGATTTAAGAAACAATCATTAATTGGGACCTTCCACCTCTTTGGTGATGTTCATCGTGACTCCCGGTGAGAGATAGCTAAATAGCTGAAGCGCTAGTAAACATTTGGCTTTTGGCCACTAAACTAACTAACTTTACCATAGTTCTTATAATTTAAACTACGTTGCTTATCTCTGAAGAATGAGTGCGGCTAAAGAAAATTGAAGAATTCGCAAGAAATGATAGTGCGAGGTGGGAATTCGAGTCGCCGCATCTCTCTAAATTTTCAATCCATTCTATATCCCATTATTAAATCCCCGAAGCGTTACTACTATAGCATCCTGATTTTCTGTTCTCAACATAACGTAAGACGTCGACTGTGAAATTCTAATGCAATGTAATTATACAACACTGATCGGTATTGATCTCCTCTTCCTATCTAAATTACGCCTGAAAATTCCACGAGAAACGCATCTTAAAAGCAGCAGAGCAGCGCGGAGGGTTCATACTTTGGTGCACCCCAGGTAATCAATATTTATGGACCAAGATAGTGTAAACAATTTCATTAACTACAGCGGTTAATGCCATAAAGATTGGATCAGCAAGCAGAGGGTTCTAATGCAAAAAACTGTTGTGAAATTTCGTTCGAAATCGGCAAGTAATCGTAATAAAATTAAGAAAATCGGTAATAGGCAAACGTGACCTTATAAAGCTGAAACCGCAATGAAGCCTGTCATAAAGCACACTGACTTGTTTTAATTACAATGGATAACCGACTAATTATTATTTAGCTTTTATTATGTCTAATAATGAGTTTAACAAACAGAATTATGTCATAACAAGTTATAGAAAATTTTGGCTTTGTTTCATTTCATCAAATTTTTTTTTTACAACTATCAAACTCATTTTGGTTGGCTTTAGAGTTCTATAATTTTTTTAATTTCGGCGACAGGCCAAGCTAAGCCAATTTTGCATAGTCCACACTAATATACTATACTGATATGTTTCAATTCCATTAGGAACATTTTGAAAAAATATAACTGCGATACAAGACGACAACGTTTGAAATGTTGAGAAAACGTTTAATGGTTTATGATGACGAAATTGGAAAGAATCAAATGAGCGGTTAAGATCACAATGGATTGCAAAAAAAATCATTTTGGAACTCATTATACGCTGGTATAAATATTCAGTGCAAATGTCTAGTTAGCACTTGATGACCTGGACACCAATATTAAAAACATGCCAAAACTAACCGCCATGAGGAGGTCGATGTCTTCTTAAACATTTTTACTTCCCTTGCATATGAATATATATGTATCTAAATAAGAATTTATATTGAAGAAGTGTGTGTTGTTGTCAAATTACACAACACAAGGATAACTTTCCTCAACACCCAAAATGCTAAGGTAAATCGATAGGTGGTAGCCAAGGATTTACTGGAGCCATATAGACCTTATTATAATTTTGCCCAGCTTCAGCAATAGGGTTCAGCATTCAAGATAACTGCAGTAATAATGACATGATTTGATTCGATACATTCACTGAAAAATGCATGATTTTCCCATATTTTCTTTTAGATAATTGCTATAATCGCATGAGGTGGAATGATCGTAAAGTTGTCAAACGCGAAAATATTAGCTTCCACATCTAAAAACGAAACTCAAAAACTGAAGCGACTCAAATCTCACGACGTGAGTAAGCTCGCAAAATTTCGTATCAATAGCATAACTATGACTAAGTTGAAAATGTTGTAATGCGAGCGTAAATGAAAAATCCAGATTTCCTTTCCGTAAAATTTCACACACACATCCATTTTTGGTTCATGCAACGATTAGTTACGGTATTTGATGCGCGTACCTCTTATGTAGTGGAAAAATCTAAAATGTATGTAATTTAAAAAATGCTGTAGCATTCTAGGTTTAAATCAGTGGTTGTGACCGCCTGTCATGCAGTGTCTCATTTATCTCGAGCACCACTAAGCCAAAGCAAATATTGGCTAAAGGAAACTACCATGAGCATGAAATAAATTAACAATAGATAAAACTTAGTCAGTTGGTGAATTTTCTGCGATTTTAGTTGACATTAAAAGGTTTATTCTGGTTCAGATGTGAAAAATTAAATCATTTTGGCGCTTGATCAAGATTAACACAAGCTCGAAGCAATCAAATGCTCGAAGATGACATAGAATACAATTTATTTTTATTGCGCGTCGGTATTCGGCACACACAATAATAGTTAAAGTAAGAAAACTAACTAAAAAACATGCCAAATAAAAGTGCAGCGATAAAGGTAAATGGAGAAATGAAATCCCAGACTAAGTTAGACGTCATTTTCATTAAGTAACATATTGGGGATGCCGTTGGTGATGGGGAACTGCCGCTTCGTCTCTGGACATTCCAAAAAGCCATCCACGACATCGACCTGCAAGCAGACAACATATTCTATAACCTATAATAACTAAGACATAGAAACTTTCTTTTGCGTGAGCAAACGAAAGAACAATTCATTTCAGCACCCAAATATCCTGACTCAGGTGAAACCTACATGACGGCTATCAAACCAGTGGGTTTAATGTTTAATAATGAATAACATTGAAGCTTAGCTATTGCTCTAGCAACGATACCTTGTCTCATTCAATGCCTAACTTAGAGAAATTAGATGATTCTGTCGTATTACGCCCAAAGCCCTAAAATTAAAATCTAATTTCACAAGATAAATACACGGTCAAAATCCCAGAAACTATGTGACGAAATGAACAAACTGGGCCGGGAGACGCGCACAGCATCTCTTCAGCTGCGGTGAAAAGATCTCTTTCACTTCACATAAATGTAATTATTGTGGACCAGCGAGGATACTTTGACGCCTGCCATAGATTTTTAACAACTCGCACAAGGGTGTGTAGTATATAAGTTTCAATGCTGTTGCATGAATTAATTAAATGCGGTGAATATTCAAATATTACAACAGTAGTAAAATAATAAATACAATTGGAAGAAAATACTGCTTCTGATGAAGCCATCTTATGATTGGTTCTTCAGATGGTTTCTTATGTTTTCAAGGTAACCATTTGCGTTGTTCGTAGAAAAATGACTTATGCTCGGCTATGGGATATGAGCGAGACATGCAATCATAGTTTGAGGATGCAAGGAATAAGTCGCTAGCAAAACCAATCCAACAGAAACATCTATAGGCATGATTTTTTTTATAAAAAGTTGGTGATTATTAGTTGCTGAACTTAAGAGTTTATTCGACCAGTGTAAACATTTAAATATTTATTTACTGCTCGGTTGGGCTGTGTTCACACTATACTGACGGGCAACGTGCCAGACGTAGTACCAGATACGGTCCAGTACAATATTCTTCAATGCTTTTCTATTGAAGCATTCACACTAGCCATAGATGGCAGCTGCCATGCTCACGGTGTGCATGCTTCTATGGAAATGCATTGAAGAATATTGGACCTTACCGTGACTGACATTTGACATTGGCCCGGCAGTATGGTGTAAACACGGCCTTAGAAGATAACTTGAAAGGCATGGAAACCTGAAGAAATTACGAATGAAAAGTTCAAATTATCAGCCTAGAAGACGATAAACAAATACAAGGATATTTGTATTGTTTGTCAACAAAAGCCTACCTCCATGACCACGTGGTGTATTCTCTTCAGAACGTCTTCGTCTGCCATGTTGGCAGGAGGCTCATCCGGTAGATCTTCTTCATGCCCTACCTGCACGATAATAAAAAAAGTTAAGTAAACAGACAAATGATGGAGCTGCTTCAAATAAAATAATTATATTGACTGTGTAGGGTAATTCCTCTCAGTTGTCAATCATACATGACTAATAAAGTAAATGTATATAGCTCAGAAAATAATGAAATAGAGAGCTGGATGGCAAAAGGCTGCAAGCACAAAGTTACAAAAGTCACAAAATTAAATTTCTAATTAATTTTGTATAAAAAACTAGTTGGGCTGATCATGTCTGACATGAAAAGTTTTTTGTTCAGTTCTAAACAGTAGTAACTCAGGACCCCATTGCAAAACTTATGAATATTCTTATTAATGAAGAAAGTTTCTAACTTTGGACAGAATAAGGCCTGGAATCAGGATTAAGGAAGTAGTCAGAGAAATGCAGGCATTGTTTTCAACTGCTGACCTATCAGGATTTGTTCCTTCAATTAGAACCAGAATATTAAGCTAAAAATATAACTCAGAACTCACTGCAGTGTGTGACAGAGAGCGCATTTTCTCGTCAACGAAAACTTGAGGTCACGGACAGACAGACGGACATGGCAAGCACAATACTGCATTTTTTCCATAAATGAGAAAATGCGCTAAAAAGAAGTTAATCAAAGCTATAATAGCTATTTACATGATGTAAATGCATAGCAATAAAGCAACATTAAGAAGAAGGGACAGTGAACCCTGGAAAATTTTCACTCTGAGAACTTGATTATGGTTTGTGCAAATGGTGCCCTGTCTTTCTTTCCCACACTCACCATGCCAAACTTCAGTTAACTGTACATAGTTCTCAATCCCCAGTCAAAGGAAAGAGAATATTATAAGAAAATAATACATACACATTTTGCTGCAAATTTCAGAGCAGACCAGTCCAACTTGGGGATCATGCGCTGTATGAACTCTGGGTTGAAATCAACATCTTTTGTCAGTACCTGAGATGCCTGCAACACATAGAGTTTTTAGCAAACAATTCTTGAGCCAATATATTTCAATGGTTTACATTGGAAATTCATCAAAATGATATCATAAATTGGTCATGCAAAAAATACAATAATATAATTAACAAAAAATAATGAATTTCAAGTATGATTTATCAATTAATACTGAAGTTGTAGCAAAATTTATGCAGACTATTGTGTATTGATACAAGGACAATATTAAGGCATTGGTAATTTCAAATCTGAAATTTATATGAACATTACACTTATAGTCCTACATTGGTTTATGTTAGAAACAAAAATGAATAATATTTTAAAAAATTCCATTGTTATTGCACACTAATTTCATGAGTTCTGAGGATCAACTAATAAAGTAGATCTACAAAGAGCTATAAATGGCCTTCATGTTGAAGTGAGATGTACTTCCAGCTTACCCTAATTATAAGAGGGTATCCATAAACAACGCCCTTGATGGTTTTGCTTGACAGCATATTATGTGTGATGAGTTTCATTATGTTAAATTTGAGGCAATGCACTACAAGCTTTTGTCTGGAAAAAAGGTCAATAATAATTTAGCTGTGGTTAGTGTGGTACAAAACCAATTCATGCCCAAGACATTACACAATACACATGCATTCTACATTTATTTGTACATTTAACAGTTTAACATGGATTTAAAACAAAAGTATGACAATTATTATAATGGAAACCTTAAATATTCAGACAAAGCTATGCAAGAACATATATTCTTTATGGAAATGCATTGGCACCCTACAGAACTTGTAGAGGTCCAGTCACTTTAGTCCCAGTGATGATGTTAAACCAACATCAGTTTAAATGATTGGGTCGAAAGGCCAGTTTCTGGATCAGTGAGCACTGTACAAGTCATGTAAAGTACAAGAATTGGCAACAGGCCTAACAAGGGACCAGGCCTATTCTTCAATGTCAGAGATGATATAGGTAATATACTACAGTGGTTCCCAAAGTGGGCAATATTGCCCCCCTGTGGGCGGTGGAAAGATCTGGGGGGGGGGTGAGGAAAAAAGGGGCAGTTGGGAGGTGGCAGTCCGCAAAGTCAAAGTCAGAAGTTTGTATGTTTTTTTGACGATTTGTACACAACATGTGTAGAACATGACTCCAAATCAAATAAATTTTCACAAGCTTAAAATCACCATTTGGTAATTAGGAACTTATATTCAAAATTTTGTTTGAATATGTTCAGTAGTTTGGAAGAAATTCTTTGATCACTGCGAATTTTGGCCCGTATCTCCATACAACTCCCAAACGAAGGTGAAATTTAAAAGTTTTTCACAAGCTAATCATCACCATTAGGTCCCAATGAATATGTGTACCAAGTTTTATTGAGCTGCGTTCATTAGTTTGGGAAATATTCCTTGGTCACTGAATTTGGAGATTGGCCGTGTGACCGGCTGAGAGACCAGACACAAGTCTGGCCGTAAATATGTCCGAGCCGTCTTTAATTTCTAGTGCTGAAAGAGTTGACACTGTAAAAAATGTATATTGGTTTACTGAATGGGGCTCTACTTGTGTAATACACATTTGTGTTTAACATTCCTCTTTTAAAATTGCAGCATACTAAATATCAAGAATGAGGCATTTGTTTTTATAGGTGTCTGTCAGGGGCATAGTCCACTGTGCAGAGTGGATGAATATTGCAAGATCTTTGGTGACGCTTCAGTAGCAAAATTTACACCTTCAGAAGGTCTTGCCGACACATTTAGATTGTAATTCTTGCATTTAATATATTTATCAGTCTTCGGCCAACTATTTAGAAAAAAAGTAAGGTTTCTGGTACGTTGGATGGATCAGGATGCAGTAAAGCTTGTCCGGAAATTGGTTGCAATGAGTTCCTGCCAAAAAAATGTAAACAAAATGTAGTTGCGGTCACATTAGAGCAATCAGACATTCAGACTGCATCATCACATGTTCAGTTGACAGTTGCTGTACAATCGGGCTGTTTTTAGGGTAAAATTAGTTATTTGAGGTAACATGTGCATGCAACCTTGTAAATAAGTTCGCGGCTTGTAAATAGTTTTTCATTACTCAGAGTCTAAGCGTAAATGGCTTTTCATCAAAAATTACCCGGCGACGCATTTTGAAAATGGTTGGTGATGCTTTGGGCTTAAAAACCCATATATTGGCGATGCTGCTTCCACCTTCTGCACCCTGGAGATAGGCTGTAGTAGGTTTACAATTGGGATACAATTTAATTTAAGAGCATTGATGTGCGGTTCCCATCTTAGCTGTGGTGCATCAAGAACCACACCTAAGTATCTGTACTGTTTAACAAACTCCAGGACACAGCCATCTAAGGACAATGGGAATGCATTGACTTGTTTGTTGGTGAACAGCATGCATTTAGTTTTGGCTAGGTTTAAGGTCAGTCCCCACTGTTTGGTCCAAGTATAGAATGTGTCCAGTTGTGACTGCATTCTCTCTGTAGCTGTAGCAATGTCGTGGCTGCTGGTAAAAAAAAGTAACGTCATCGTCATAGTCTGCCACACCCACTCCCTGCACTGATGGAAGGTCTCTCATCATTACATTAAACAAGAGCGGTGAGAGAATAGCTCCTTGAGAAGTTGAGGGACGCCAGACCTGATATGTCTTGTAGACAAGGTCTCGCTTTCCAACTGCACTTGAAATGAGCGGCCCGTAAGATAGGCACGTATCCATCTCAGCAGTTTACCTCGCACTCCACACTGGCAAAGCTTGTACAGCAGACCTGTCATGTGTGCCAAACTCTGCTGAATGCATTTGAAAGATCACAGAATACCACCCCCAGAGCTGACCTGGTGGCCAGTGCAGTACAGATTGCAGCTTCCAGCCTTGCCACAGTGCCACTTGGTCGACAGCAGCAAGCCGACGGCAAAACCCTCCCTGAGATGCTCTAAAAGAACCCCTCTGATCCAGAAAAAAGCTCAGTCTTTTGTTTATCAGGGACTTTAGCACTTTGCCTATGCACGACATTATAGTGAGATTGGTCTGTAGGATAAAACTGAGGTCAAGCTTTTGGCTGGTTTAGGTATAGGGACAATCAAGGCCAACTTCCAAGAGTTTGGGATTAAGGCAGACTGAAGGTCAGCAGTTATTGTATCAGAGCAAATGGAAAGAATTAGACATTCTTCTTCTTCTTCTTTTCCGGGTGTCCACGCTGGGTGGACTTAAAGCCACAGGACAACCACTACCGCAAGGATGACCGTTGGGCCTGAGAGCTTCTGCAGTTTTGGACCTCTTGGCATGGAAGTCAATCCACTTTATTCTTGCTTATAAAAGGTCAGTGGACGTGATGGTTGGGCATGACAGCGTGTAAGAGAAAAGTTACACATAACATGAAAAAAATATCAGAAAGCAAGAGTCATTGCTTATAGAACTTGGCATAATAATTGATTGTTAAATTGGGTAAACTAATACAAGTACGATAATTTGGGTGATGCATGTGCATACATGCACACCACACTCAGGAAGATGTATATAAACAGGGAAATTTCTCGCGTAAATCAATCTAATTATATTTTTTTCGCGCAGGCGTTCGTGCAAATCACGGTCATCGATTCCGCGCCGCGCAGCACTCGGCGCGGGCCGCAGAGCCGTCCGACACAGTTCTGATTTAGACACAGACACGCAGTTTTCATCTGAATGGAATGGCAACATCGTCTGTAGATGATTTCAAGTAACGCTGAACCAGCATTGCCAGATGGTATATTTCTATACCAGATTTCACAAATCTGGTATTTTCAAAAGGTGTCTGGTATGAATATTCTAGATCTGGTATATATGCCTAAATCTGGTATTTTTCTGGTATTTTCTGACTTACTGCAAATTTACTGCATTTAGTTCCACCTCTGAAGTTTGAACTTCCTCCAGCGTAGGCGTGGATTATATTATTATTTATATGAATTGCCTTCAGAGCGGCGCGATTAGAGCTTATGCGGATACACGTTTGTGTGTACGGTCAGTGTGATTACGTAATTTGCATTGCAGCGCGTCCATATTTAAACTATTTTAGCTTTCTAAAAGTACGGCGCTGTCGGCGCACGGCGCATTTTTTTACCGGCATAGTACGGCGCACCGTGCAGGTCGGTAAAATGACAATATAAATTCCCGCGCACCTGGCACATCTTCCTGACCATGGCATGCACATACACAGGGCTGGAAAAGTCTTATTTTTGTCTGAAATATCGCGGCTCTAATATCATATAATTTCAGTAGGTATGAAATCTTGCGGCTTGAATGTCATAAATTTTTGTTTGATTGGAAAATTGCAAACATGTCATTTCATAAATTTTTCAACTTGCGCAATCCACATTGTTTTACCATTCCCGCCAAAATATCCTGCAGAAAAAACATAAACATCGTAATGTAAACAAATCAACTAAACGTTTTGTTGAAGATCGTGCATAGTTGTGGTCATGTCAAAGCGGTCAGACTGCATTAACACATGCTCAACTTACAGTAAAGACCATTTTTATTGTTGCCATTTGACTGTTTTAGGGTAAAATTAAATATTTGGAGTAACATATGCATGGACTTGGTAAATAAGTTTGTGCCTCATAAATGGCTTTTCATGGCCAAGATATAGAATTCACAGCTCAGTGAAATGGAATCATGGCTCAAAGAAATGGAATCATGGCTCAAAGAAATGGATTCACGGCTCGCAAATCCATAAAACCACGGCTTGAAAAATTCAGTCGCGGCTCGCCAAGTGGATATAGGTATTCCATGCCTGCACATACATACATACATATACATATAAATATATACTACACACACATACACACTTATACATACATGTAAGCAACATTTCCATTTTGGTCACCTCACTCACCTGTCTAAAGTTCGCTAACCCTACCTGACTTCAAAATGTATACTACCGTATCAAAAATTGGAAGATTTTCCTTTGTACATCAGCATCATAGTTCCCTCCCCCCAAAAGTTCACGCAAAGAAAATTGTACATTTATACATCTTAAATTAGTTTTCAGCTCTTGTTTGGGCTGTGCATACCGCTGACAATGCAGCAAGTAGTGCTCAATCGTTTCCACAGTGTTGCACCGTGCACGTAGCACAATAAGCACATTGATCAGAGTCGCTCATGTTGAATCTATGTCGATGGCTTCTGACACCGGCATGTCCAATTCTGAGTCGAGCGGCAGCACACTCCATTCTGCGGGACTTTAGGCAGAGCCAGGGTCGCAGTCTGGGTTCATCCATGATGTTACTCAAAGAAGAATTTCTGATTTGAAAGTAGATCAGCGAAAGATATCCTCTGATGAGGGCAAAGCCAACGTACTTAATCATTTTTTCAGTAGCGTATTTACTGAAGAGGACTTGAACAGTATTCCACATGGCTTATACAAGGTCCCAGAAGGATTACTAGAATTTGAAACAAGAACCAACACCAGGGGCCACGGCTATAAACTAAAAAAACAGCGTTGGAACACATCCATGCGACAACATTTCTTCTTGCTTCGAGTCACCGACATGTGAAACAGCCTCCCTGATAGCATCGTTGAAGCTCCGAGTATGAACA